AGGCCAATCAGAGGCTTTCATCTGAGCAGGTGTAAAGTTGAAATGTAGAGAAACATCCACTCTAAATTTCACAGGGAAAAACTTGAATGTAGTCAGAAAACAGTACACTAGCAACATTTGAAAACTATCTATGTTTTTCTAGAATTACAGTGTCAATTACAAAGACCGGATTATGTAAAATATTTAGCATAGAATATAATAACTTCTCCTTTGCCAATATAAAGGTATCTTTCACAGGAATATATCTCAGCAGACTACTAAAAAAAATCATTTTTTTTCGATGTATTAGTTTTGATGGTATCATACATCATAACCCAGTTTAAGGTTATAATTAAAAACCAATTACAATTCACTGTGTATCTTAAATTAATTCTACCCTACTTCCATGGCATGAATTCTACCCATTCCAGTTTGGTCCCCAACCTCACCTCAAGATCGGGGATCTGCAGAGAGTGCATATCCAGGGTCAGGACATCACAGGGCGCAGACAGACAATCTTCAGGCTTCATCTCGTGGCTGAACTTGGGCTTGGAGAAGAACTCTTTCTGAGCAAGGGACCTGGACCAATGAATGAAACCCAATTACAATTACAGCCATTATGGTTAAATCCACAGTGCCTATGCTCATGGGAAAAATACATTACTACAGCACTACATCTAAAAAAAGGCCTTGCTTTATGTAAACTGACATAATATGAACGTAAGCATTTTTTTTCTTTTTGCCACTATTTTAGTCCATGTCTTCAGTCGAACATGCACTACATCAATATGATCTAAATATTGTACTGAACTGAAATGTACAGGTGTGGCAATACCACCTCTTCGTTTAGAAATGTGTATATGTACTTCCTGCAGCTGTGAGGGCTCAGCAGGAACTACCATTTATACTTCAGCCATTTAGAAAGGCTCTTATACCTACGGAATATCAAATATCCCAACACCTTCTTCCAAAAAACATTACTTGCAGAATTTACTTTTAAAGCTTACTTTTTATATATTTAATGTTACAACTAGAATGAAACATATAATTTCTGTTAGAAACCTGTCAAAGTACTGTATGACTGTTGTGACACAGAGAGACGAAGTTCCGTTAGAAAGAACCCCTAGTTTCCTGACAACTGCACGGGAATGCAATTACAAGATCATTGCCAACAAATGCTCCCACTCAGAGGGTCAGCGATAAAAGATACCCATGCATCTGTCTCCTGGTTCATCACAGACCTTTGTCCACATCTCTCCAGCCTAGACACATGAATGTTTCTCCCGTCTTGCAGAAAGAGATTTAAGAACATGGCTGGCATGGTACTGAGATGTTGGATTACAGCCTCCCCTCGAGCTCAGCTAAACTCACCCAGAAAGGGAATTAAATTCTTTCAAAGTGACCTCAGGAGCCAAGGTAGCTCAGACAGTAAGGGCGTCTATCTCCTGACTAGAAGGTCCTGGGTTCAATCCCAGGTAGGGGCAAGTGATTTACAGTAGCTTGCTCTAATTCCTTCCAGATGGCTCCCAGGTCCACTCAGCCTGCTTTTCAAATGAGTACTGGGGGTTAATCCTTCTGGGGGTAATAGGCCCGCCGGAGTGTGATGCTGACCACATCACCTCCACCTCCAGTGTCTGAAGGTTGAGAAAAATAGTGACCCATTCCCCCATGGGCCTTTATGGCCTGAAAAGGGACCTACCTACCATGGTGACCTCACACTGGCCTATCTCCCCCAAAGAGATATTGATTTGAACTGGCGACTCACAGCTCCTCCTGAAGCCCCACATTGTGGCATTGGAATCCTGATCAGCGATTTTTGGGTTCAAATCCCAGGTTGGAGCCACCGTAACTGTGCCACTTTACAAAATACTTTGCCCGGATTGCTCTAGCAAACCATGATATTCACAATTTGCACAGAAGAATATTAGTGTAATCTCTGTAAGTCACTATGGATAGAAGCAACCAAATACTGTATGTTAACAACAATAAAAAACATCATTAAGAACTAAACTTTAATTCAACCGTAATCAGGATTGTCCAAGTTACCGAGCATGGCCGGAGTAGTGAGGGATTCTCTTTGGTTTGTAGGAAGAGGTCGTCTGATAAACTGAGGAGCAGGACAATCACGATTTGGAGAACTGTGCTTATAAGAAACCGTTTCAGGTCTTACTTCAGACAACTGAAATCCAGACCGTAGGGCTTCTCCCAGAAGACAATCTTGCGGCGGTATTCCTCCTCGGCCTGGCAGGGAACAAGGCTCAGCGCGGCAGAGGACGGCCACATCATCCCGCCCTCCTTCAGCCAGCGGTCTCGAGCCAGCAGCACCGACTCCACCATGAACTCAAACTGGAACCCACAAACACGACAGTAAATCATCACGGGGCAGGGGGGTGAGGGCACTGACACCTTCTGCCTGTTTTCCAAGCACTTGGTCCAGACCAGGAGTTTGAGGCACACGAGTTTCAGCCAAAGGGCCCCTTTCTGCTTCTGAGGGACCCAGATAGAAACGCTGAAGGTTTCTTTGTTTTCAGACCAGTTACATGAGACCCACAGTGCTGAAATCACTTCAGAATTCCAAAGCACTTTAGACAATATTGTGAAGCAAATGTTAATATCACACATTTTCCATTTTAGTATGTATTTTTCTATTAAATATAATTCTAAGGAGAATGAGGGAAAATACAGGGCATACAATAAGAAAACCTCAAACTCCTGAAAATCAAGTAATAATAAATTGCATTCATGTAGCACTATTCATCCCAAGGATCCCAAAACATATATATATATATAGGACGGGACCCAATTACCTGGGTGAAGAATGGACCCATTACGCATCAGGAGCATCAGGAGCCTCATTACACAGCAGATGGGATGGACAAAAAAACTGAATAATAGGGGGAATATTAGGGAGGTCAGTGTCAAAGCCAAGAATGGAATGAAGCCAGGACACCAATGTCATCAAACCTACTCTTTCAAAAAGTGCGAGGGGATCTTTAGTGACCAAGTAGTCAGGACCTTGGTCTGATGTCTCTTCAGAAGGATGACACTGCCAACAGCACTGTGTTCCCGATCACCAAATTAAGACACTGGTTTGGCAACTCTCTTGCGCAGCAGATCAGGCTACAAGCTGTTAATTATGGTGGAAATACTTCCTTATGCCTTAAATTTGACTCCTACATGGCTATAAGGTGTCAACAATGGAGTAAATACTTCCTTATGCCTGTCTTAAATTTGATTCCATGAACCACCCAGCAGCAAGAGTCACATGTAGAGTACTCCCATTTTGCAATTAGCACCAACTGCAAACATGCAGCAATGCCCATTTTCGCCACAACACATCTGTTCCCATGGTACAAACATTTGCCATTTTGTAAGAGCAACTATTGTATATTTTAGAACCGGTATGATTCATAGGACCAACTGCTTGTGTCATTTTCTATTTCACACAAAGTGATCTGTCCCATTTCAGTACAAAATTGCCCCATTTTGCCCCAACGGCTGTTACCTTTTTAGTGTCACAGAGATCTATACAATACAATATCTTAGTATTACCTGCCCTGCGTAGCTGATTGCCCTTCTTCAGGGTGGTTATCAATTCTTATATTAACTACATATTATGACACATCATCAAAGACATATATATATACAAGTTAACAAAACTAAATAAAAATAATCCCAAGCTATGCACTGAGCTAGGCAAAGCGAACGTTGAAGGTGCAGTGTGGAGTAGGGGATAGGGCTCTGGTTTCCCAACTTTGGGGGTCATGGGCTCAGATCCCAGCTCGGGACACAACAGCTGTACAACCTTCAGGCAAAATAATAATGGAGGACGTTACAAAAACAGTACATACGAGCAGGCAGTTGCCCATCCACTCGGACACGAGCACGTCCACCTTCCCCGGCAGCGCCAGCTCTTCCACGCGGCCCTTGAACACGGACACGACGCTCTGGCAGCCGTTGCGCGTCACCAGCTCTCGGGTCTGGTCGGCCATGGGGCTGGCCTCCACCGCGTACACCTGGGGGGACACAGGAGCTCCACATCACCTGCCCGGGAACCAAGCAGCCTGGTGCTCGCGCCAGAGTCAGTCCCAGCAGACACCTTTTCCACCTGGAGATCTGCTAGTTGCCACTAGAGGGCACAGTGGCCAATGGCCGCACTCAGACCACGCAGGAACTCCATCCTAACGAGATGATCAGCAGCTACACCTCTTGATAGTGATGCCTATAAAACATGCTCATGCGAATCCTTCTGCATTCGGTACAGAACCTCACCTCCGACCCTCGGACACAGGCGTAAACTGATTCTCACAAGAAACAGAAAAGGCAAGCGCCTTATCTTTTTTCCCCTCTTCCCGCCCTTTTAAACCCCCATAAAAAAGGCAGAGATCCCTTTTTCGGCTGATTCCCTGCCAGGAGATATCGACCTGTTACTACTGTGGGCGAACAACCATTAGCCGACTATTCCAGTAGCACAACAGGAATACCAAGCAAAAACGATGAAGAAAGGGGGATAAGGGATGGAGGGGGTCCTCTGACAGACACCACAGGTGCTAACGCAGACATGTAAGGGATCGGGAAGTGCGGACATGAGCGGCCGCAGAGGAAAGGTGGAGTTAATGGCAGACAGTAGTGGGTGGAGGGATAAAGTGATTTCAAAGCGCTTTACAGGTACTTCCCCTCCACCACCACCAACGTGCAGCCCCCACCTGGATGATGCAACGGCAGCCATAGTGCACCAGAATGCTCACCACACATCAGCTATTAGCGGGGAGGAGAACAGAGTGATTAAGCCAGTAAAGATATAGGGATTATTAGGAGGCCATGATTGGTGAAGGCCAATGGGAAATCCTGACCAGGACGCCAGGGTAACACTGGGGTAACACTGGGGTAACACCAGTGATGACCACTGAGAGTCAGGACCTCGGTTTTATGTCTCAGCCAAAGGACGGTTCCTTTTTATAGTATAGTGTCCCCGTCACTATACTGGGGAATTAGGACCTAAGTCCTAAGTCCACAGGGTGAGCACCCCAGCTGGCCCCACTAAGACCACTTCCAGGATCAACCTTAGCTTTCCCAGAAGGTCTCTCCCATCCAGGTACTGACCAGACTCACATCTGCTGAGCTTCAGTGGGGTGTCAGTTGTGAGTTGCAGGGTGATATAGCTACTAGCAGTGATGGGAAGAGTTGCAGGTAAGAAGCAAATAAAAGACTGTCAAGCAGAGAAGCTGTACTGGAGAAACAAAATGGAGAGATCACGAGCAATGTTTTGGGTGAGATAAAGAGATAACTTTGCTTAAGCAGTGTTGCAGTTATCCAAGCCAGAAAGGGCCATGGGCTGAACTAGGAGGTGTTGCTTAAGAAAAAAGCCTCAGGAGCACATGTACAAAGAGGAGAGAGAAAAAACCAAGCCAGTACTAAGTTTCTTGTCGGAGCAAGAAGATGAGAGCTAGACAGAATCATGGGAATTTGATCAAAAGTAATTATTTCAAGAATAAATGTAGGTTAAAAGTAATTATTCTAACTGCATTTTCCTGCTGCAAAGAAGTCTGATCTTAAGTGCTAATTTGGCCTATTAAAGTAATGCAGGTAAAGTTCGGTATGAACAAAAGTGTGTGTATTGCTGTCTGGCTGTGTCTTATGTGAACTTATTTTCAAGGGTTCCAACACTGAAATGAAACAAACAGCAATAAAATACTTAACCTAAGTGAACTAAAGACACTACATGACAGTGGATATCAAGCCATTGTCATTGTCTCCTTAATACAGATATATGTGTCCATAGTACTCATCTAGCAAAACAAAATACAAAGACTGTACTGTAAGTACCTGCAAAGAAATTAATTCATTATTCCCAACAATGTAAATGTTTAGTGGCACAAAACATGCATTTTTGTGTCCATGTTTGTATTTATTCTGCAAAAAGGTTTCTGAATCTGTTAGTGTACAATGCTAATTTGTGATTACAGTTGCACACTGATAAATGCACCACAGATAAAGAACTAGAAGGGGGTCTGCTATAACTCCAAACAGCCACTAGGAGGAACCCAACACACAAATCCAAAGAATTTGTCAATCGCATTTGTAAATCATATTTTAATTAATGAAAACTTTATTTAAAAAATAGGTCAGGCAGTGGATTTTCGCATGCATTAATTTAATCTAAATTTTTTTGTTTTATATATTTGTACCACTGTCTTGTATTTTTTTTGGAATGTTTAGTTTATTCTTTTATATTGATGCAACCAGTATTAATATTGTTAAGGCATATGTAATTTTATAAAAAATCGCTCACATTACATTTTCTTTCAAATTGCCTCTACTTGGAGGCTGTTAAATTGAAAGAGGAATACTTGAGCTGGGATTAAATTTTTTAATTAAATTAAATGTGATGAATTTCTGTTGACAGAGCTTTTGGGCGAAAGCCAGACTTTTGGAAACTTCCCTTCAGCAGCACACTATGCTAATGAAGTATTAAAAAGTGAAATAAAGGCTAATCTCATGTCTATCATGTCTGCTATCTAAAAAGTGGTGATTTCTCCACTATTCCCCCTACAACTGTAGGTGTTGATAAGACTTTTTCTGGTTCGTAAGATCTTGGATGACGTTATTAATTACTACCATCCCTGAACCAATTTAAAAACGTAAGAGCAGTGTGATCTCACCCAGCTGTGCCATCTTATCATCTACAAAAGCATGACAAGACGACTTGTTTCATACTCCCACAACCCAGTGTGAAAAGAACTGCCTGCTGTGCTCAGTTTTAAATGCACTTCCTCGTAGTGTAAAAATTGTAGGATTGACTAGATAAATACCTTTTAATACTTGAATAGATGAGGAATAAAACGCTTGAACTTTGGATTTGATAGAATTTCCTTCTATCAACATACTCAAGGGAGTTCTTTTTAAACCGCAGCATGAGTGCAGCAACAGCAAGCAAGAGGTTCAAATAAAGGGATCACGCATTTTTTTCCTCGGTGAATAAAAGTTGGGATAAAAACCAGAAGACACTGGGGTCCTCCAGTATAAGTGGTGAGAAATCCCACCATACTGCACCTCATTTGGATGTCCTGGTCCTAGAAAAGGCTTTCATAAGTGAGAATTTATGCCAGTGCCAATGGATCTTATATAAAAAAAAAGATCAAATTAAAAACAGCACCAAAATAACATCCATGGAGTAACAGTTAAATTTTGGATTATCCTATGACCAGCCACTATCTTGGCCATTTTAATTGAAAGCATAACATTTTAATTTTAATTTAAACTTCATTTAAATTGAATTGAAAGAAATAAAAATTCTGAAGAGATGCCTCGGTCGGCTTCAACGTTTTGCAGTATTATTCCTAATTATGCTGCGCTTAATAATTTTACAAAAGCCCTCTCTGTGCTGCTGAATGTGTGGCTGAATGGTACCACAGCAGTATCCTAACTGGGATCTGAGCCCAATCCCTTCCGGTTACAGCTCCAGAACCTTAACCGGTCCTCCACATTGCTGACTCTAATATTCACATTTTCTGATGATCTCTTACAGTGCGAACTCTCATGCTGTAGGTGTACAAATCCCAGTGAGAAGCCCGTTCTTTCAAACATCTGTAATTCATTGTCTGAATACAAAAGTACAATTCGCTCTGCCTTGCTTGAAAGGTTCTTCGAAAAAAAGACTGGAGGTCAGAGGCCAATCCTGAAAGGATCGACTGCTTTAGCAGGATGCTGGCACGTTACCGCCGCAGGCTCGGCGAGTCGAGCGCAGAAGAGGCTGATGATCCCCGTTCCACAGCCGAGGTCCATCACAACACGGCCCTCGAGGCAGTGCCTGTTGCTGAGGACGACTTCTCTGTACGTCTCTGTGCGTGGTTTGTCTGACAGCATCTCCAGGTGCAGTTTCTGCGGAGAGGAGCACACCCTGTCATTCTGCTCCTTCAGGAAGCAATGGTTCTACCACTTTGCAGGCCTGAGAAAAGATCCATTGATTCTTGACCCACAGATGCCTTCTCTACCTGGCACTTCTGACAGGCATCCTCACCAGGAGCTTGTAGTCTAATAATATCCATCCATCTTCCATCTGCTTTATCCAATACAGGGTTACGGGAGAGCTGGAGCAACAGGCGCAAGGCAGGATACACCCTGGTTGGGACGCCAGTCCATCACAGAGCACACACACTACAAACTCACACCAGGACCAGTTTTCCCATAATCCAATTAACCTACCAGTATGGCTTTGGACTGTGGGAGGAATCCAGAGCAAACCAGGGAATGCAAGCAAACACTGTATGTTCTCCTCAATTCCACAGAAATAACGCACCAGGAATTGAACCCAGGGCCCCAGTACTGCGAGGCAGCAATGTTAACTACTGTGCCACTGTGGGATCCTAGCCTGTAAAATCTATTGACTATATTAAATTGGCAGTTATATGAGATATAATGGGAGGGATTGAATTTAGAGGCAGCACTGTACTGATAATGGTACCAGATCTACAGTGCATTTGCCAAAAAGCTTTAAGTTAACATGAAGATGACCAAGGCTTCATTCTACACATTGCAAGCAAAGCAACTATGTACTTGTAATATAGTCTATTTCATCTGAAAAAATATAACCACAGCCTGGTCTGAGAAAGAACTGTGTCCTTCAGTCTTTCATCATATAATGAACTGTGGAACAAAAACAAAATTCTTATTTAAAAAAAAAGGGCAGAGCAGTGGCTCTGTGGCTCAGGATCTGCGCCTGTGGCTGGAAGGTTGCCGGTTCGTATCCCACGACCGGCAGAGGAATCCTACTCCGTTGGGCCCCTCAGCAAGGCCCTTAACCCCAGCTGCTCCAGGGGTGCCATATAAATGGCTGACCCTGCGCTCTGACCCCAAGCGTCTCTCTTCCCGTCTGTGTGCCTGTGAGTCTCATGGAGAGCAAGCTGGGGTAAATAATAAGACAAATTCCTAATGCAATAAATTGTATATGGTTAATAAAGTGATCTTATCTCTAAACACTTTATCCCACACTACAAAGTCTAGCTACATAGGGGTAAGCTTAAGAATGTTGGTAGGGTTTTGATTACAGATTACAATATCCTGGTATCAGCATGCCCCTATTGTGGTAATGATGATCTGAATATCTCACCAAACTTCCATAGCTGCCAAAGTATTCTTCATCCTGCCAGGCATCATCCACATCCTCTTCATCGATACATGGCCGGACGTAACTGGAGGGGACGTAACCAAAGAGTCCATACAGCTCTGCCCACCACCATTCTGGTGAGGTTCTATCATGAACCCGCAGGCGGTCTCCCGTGGTGAAGCTAAGCTGAAGAATAAAAACAAGACAAGCCAGCAGCCATATCACTCTGCAACTCACAACTGGCAGCCCACTGAAGCTCAGCAGATGTGAGCCTGGTCAGTACCTGGATGGGAGACCTCCTGGGTAAAACTAAGGTTGCTGCTGGAAGAGGTGTTAGTGAGGCCAGCAGGGGGCACTCACCCTGCGGTCCATGTGGATCCTAATGCCCCAGTATAGTGATGGGGACACTATACTGTGAACAGGCGCCGTCCTTCGGATGAGACGTAAAACTGAGGTCCTGACTCTCTGTGGTCATTAAAAATCGCAGGGCGTCTCTCGAAAAGAGTAGGGGTGTAACCCCGGCATCCTGGTCAAATTCCCATTGGCCCTTACCAATCATGGCCTACTTATAATCCCCCTCTATGAATTGGCTACATTACTCTGCTCTCCTCCCCACTGATAGCCGATGTGTGGTGAGCGTTCTGGCGCACTATGGCTGGCGTCACATCATCCAGGTGGATGCTGCACATGGTGGTGGTGGAGGGGAGTCCCCATTACCTATAAAGCATTTTGAGTGGAGTGTCTAGAAAAGCACTATATAAGTGTAAGCAATTATTATAATTATTATTTTAAAAGTACGACCTTTCAGCTCTTGAACCATCTATAGCTGACTGCTGTAATTAACTTTGTTGGTTTACTCTTGGGTGTCTATTGTCTTGTTACCTGTCGACTGTCTAAAAACAAACCAATCAACTTCATGATGTTCCTTTATATATGAATTGTACAGAATGGTATTGTTCCTCTTAATTTTAAAGAGATAGTGCAAGGTTGTCCCATTCTGCTCCTGGAACAAGCCCTGCAATAATGGCTAGTGTTCACCACAATTCAATACTGTCTGTTCCTACAGCCACACTGTGATGATTATACAATGTGTTTGTTGAAAGCAATGCTAAATACAGGAAAGTGCCATTTCATTTTTTAAAATATTTCCAAAGCTCATCTTTTCATGTTAATTCTTACTTCATTTTTTATCTGTTAACCCTTCAATATTGTACTGTGTACTGTACACTGGCATTATCCAGTAAAGGATTTGAGCTCCTGCTGTGTTTGTTGCCACATTAACGTGTAAATGCACCTAAATAAAAGGTAATTTTGAGGTGCAATTTAGGATGGATGTCACTAGCTTATGCATCCTTTCAATGCCAATGCTCATTAAATATTAATATTAAAACAATCTTTTTCAATGTCTGTACCAACAGTAATATCTGTTCCACATAAAAAGCCATGTTATTAAAATATATTAAAAAGTATAGGGGGCGGCATGGCCGCTAACACAGCTGTCACCTAGCTCCATTGTCCTTACACTGAATCAGGCTTGAGGTACACTGGTCACCCAACGAGGGCAAAACACAGTGATGTTCTCTTAGCCTTGCCTTGTGCCCTATGCTTTGGGGATCAGCTCTGGTTTGAGATGAACCTCACCATAACAAACTGTTTTCCAATAGCAAGCCAATGTATTTATAAAGGTATGGCACGAGACTGCTCATTAGAAACACAACCATTACAAACCTGATTGTCTTCAGTGGCACAGAAATCAGCAACGCCTACGAAGTCCTCAACTGGCTGACATTTCTTGAGGTCTTCATCCACTTCCTCCATTATCACTCAGAATTTGATGTGCAGTTCTCATCGAGAGAAGTAAAAAGCTTTACCTACATACCGCAGCACTTTTCTTGACGGTAGCATTAAATAAAATTTCAAATGTCGTCTAAAACTCTGTACACAATCAGTAGCCCTAGCAATCACCGCAATCTGGTAAACCTTGCTACTAACTTATCTTTCGTGCAAATTTCAACAGTAATGCAAATGAGCATTAAAAAAGTTACACACAGCTGCCGATGTAAACTGTTTTCAGCCCAATCACTTTTAACTGAACATCCTTGATATAGAAAGTTGCAAGACAAAAACTGAACTAAATGCATTTTAAAGTAGAACAATATGAGCAATTTTCTGAGAAATAAGACACCCAAATATATAAATTAGGCATTGCAGTTTAACTAAATTAAGGTTTTCAAGACCTGTATGCGTCTGTAAAAATTATATTAATATGAAAAACATATATTTAATATCGTGTTATATATTCACACCCACATTTAAACACATGCAATTTGAATTGCCCTCCTTTTCCAATAACAGCACATTTTTATGCAACTACACGAATAAACTGTTTCCCTTTAATTGACGGGCTTCTAGGTAAAATATCTCAAAAAGATTATCCTGGTATTCCGATTCAGGAATACATTCAAACTTAATAAATACTGTTAATAGAGAATTTTAAAACAGTCGTACTGAGATTTCTCGAACTTACCTCTGTTGTTCTGTACTTTCTTCGTTGTTATTACTTGGGTAAAGTGAATTGTATCTTACAACACCTTTGGAACTCTTTCCTTTAAGTATGAAATATTTACTTCGTCAAAACTAAACTTTTATTCCACGTTATATTTTAACTGTTCTTTTAAACAATCAAGTAAGAGAAACACTTTTGCAAGTACGCGAATGCTATGATCAAATAAAGAAAATCATTTTTGTGGAAACGCAGAAAAACCAACACTAAATTAATTTTAAAACCCTAAGAAAATAATGTGTTACTTAATAACTTAAAATACACCATTTGATTGAACTAATTAGTTTTGAAAAAGCGAACAAAACTGTTCATGTTTCGTAATCGTCAACACTTCCGTGTGTCTTATACTGTATGCATGGGAAATGTAGTTCATTTCCTGATGTGAAGAAAAGGTTTGTACCTCGAGTACTCTCTTACTCTAAAACGTTTTTAATTTTACCTGCTACGTCAACCAAAAACGTCCAATTTACAGACAAGTTCTCAGTTATAACATAGGACAAGTTTTGCCGGTAAATTTTTAGTGAAGCACCTCACGGGGGCATTTGAACCCACAATCCCCCGGTCCACAACCAGTACAGCTACTTATCACGGGAGGTGAAGACCGTACAACGTTATATTTCTCTGTGTACAAAGAGAATAATTCATTATTTGCTTTGCCTTTTCGAGTAAGACGAAATGACAAAAGTGGGATAACAAGGAAACAAAAAGTTTTCTACTGATTGGAAACCTAAAAGCAACTTACCTTTAATAAAACAGTACCACACTTAAAATCAAATTGTACAGTATGGATCAAAGAAATGGGTTTCCGCTATTTAATGATTTAAATATTGTTTTATTTTAACAGCATTGTTTTCAAAATATAATGAATGTGAATATTGCTTTAGAACAGAGACATCTGAAAATACAAACTTATGAATCTTTTGGCATTTGACAAGTGAAAAACACAGTTTTGTGCAATAAAATCAGCAAGAAAAATTGAAGTAGCACATAAGGATGGCCCACACAAGGGTACATACAATTTGATGTGTGCAACTGATGTTAGGAGATTTAGGAAGTTAGGTAAAAAAAAAAGTAAGACCTTAAATCAGGGCGTATTCATGGGTCCAAGAGGAAGATATGAACAAGATGGGCATATGGTATACTGAGTGTTTTTCTGAAGGACCTGAACCAATAATATCTTTTGTGACCAAAACTATGTGACAAGTAAACTACACTATAAAAGCTGCAAAAAATGTACTCTGCAGCTATCACATTCGGAATTGGAGGTAGTTTTCTGGCTACTGATCAGTGATCAGATAAAGAGAGTTTTGGAGGTAAAAGTCAGTTATGCTGCCTCTACAACAGCTGCAGTTAATACAACTGACGCCTTTCCATATTCCAGAAAATTGTTTGACATTGGTTTTTAGAAACAAAGCCTTATGAAATGTACATCTATTGAGTGGGGTTATCTGGTAATCTGGTGCTTTTATTGTGTAATGTTGTGGCTAAATCTGGTCAATGTCACTTAGGTTTCATGCGATGCATACAGAATGTCAACCAACTAACAGCAGGAATAAAAACATCTGACATTTTGAAAATTAAATCACTAGTTAAACAAGCTCTGTTTTCTAACACCGCATCTTGTGTTTTCATTTTTAAGGATGACTTTTTTTATTCTTTCGCTAAAAAAAAACCCACCTTTAAGCATCTAGATTCATGGCAGTACAGTTCTTTCATTTTCCTGGTCGTGTGAAGAAAGCATTTGTAGAATACAATATAATGGAAAAAAATAAACTCTCAGTGGTTTTAAATCTATAAAAATGTGATTCAGTATGGGCACAAATGTGTGTTGTACTATAAGTGATGTCATATAATGTAGCAAGATAACCATTCCTTTGCATATTAATATTTTACTTACATCATCTTAGACTGGTGCATTATAGTTTTGATACTTCATAAAGTTTATATATACAACTATTAGACTGACTAAAATGTTGTCACAGAGATCTTGTGTTACTATTGTGTTACTATTTGTCGTTTGTATCCTGTATGATTGAGCCACCTTTTCTGTTCTTGAATCTAAAACACATTTGCTTAAGCTAAATAATCTGTAATATTCATCCATGTTTATGATTCCTTTTTCATGATAATAGTACAATATAAAAAGAAGGTGGGCTGATGTTGCCTTACGTTCGACAAAAATAGGTTTACAAACTGAAATCAGTGTCACATTGCCAAGCAGACAGAGCACAGTGCACCACAATCAGTGACACTTAAATCACTTAGCCTGGTACTGCTACACTGGGTTATAAAATCTGTAAATCTTTATGATACAGTTTTATTGTTGCACACAGCACAGATAGAACAGTTGGCAAAAATCTTAGTATAGATTAAAAATAATATCTTTGTTTTCGGTTTAGATGCCCTTTCCCTGGGTGTTTCATTTCTGCTCTCCATTAAGTCGGGTCTTTTGGACTACAATCAGTCTGACTTGTTCTTCAAAGATGGCTTCTTACAGCAACATTTCCTGAAGCAAAATGCACAGCTTCTTACTGTCACGATGACAAGAACCACCACAATGGTTATCAGCAGCCCAATGACATCCAGGGAGTGATACTGGATCCAGTTCAGTTCATGGGCCGCTGGTCTTAAGTGTTGTGCTCCTTTGTGTCTCATGACAAACTCTGTCCAAAATACTGCCAAGTCCATTGGCTCAACGGGTCGGTCTCTGTGCAAAGCCGAAAGCTTTGTCATCTTCTCTTTATAGCTACAGGAAAAACACGAGAAGTACTGAGTTATTCCAAAATGCTGTGTTTGATGTAACAGTTATGAACCTGTTACAGAACCTTGCAGAATTCAAAAGAGAAACCTACTGTACAAGTTGCACAAACTATCTGAGAAAGGTCTGTTTCTGTTGTTGCACTTTTAATTACTCATTATGAGGGACAACACAAGGTGCGAGTTAAGATTCTAGACTCCCTGGATCAGAAGGCTGTGAGTTCAAGTCCTCTCAGCAGACACTGGTGTCTGTGTCCTTGAGCAAGGTCTTTTTCTCTGAATTTCTGCAGTCCACCCAACTGCAAGAATGGGTTCCACTTTTACTGTGGGGTAGCCCTAAGATGGACCAGTGTTCCATTCTGGTAGCAGGCGTTTGTTTTCTGTCAGCTTCATGTCAGAGATTACAACATAAGCTCTGTCTTTAAAGGTGCTGGGCTTGTTGAATAGACATAAGCTGATTCACAGTATGATCTTTAGCTACAATGTTATTTCATCAATCTCATTTTGACCTTTTTTAAATATAAAAACTCATATTATTTTTAATACTGTGACAGGCTAGGTATTCAAATGTCCGTTGAAGATAAACAAGAGGTCTTTTTATCTTAGTAGCTTAGTGGTTTGGATCAAAAAAACAATCGTGTTAATCTGGCCCAATAAGGACTCTGATAATGAGGTACTCAGACCAGTCAGAAGTGAGAAATACAGTATTTACAAAGAATGCAGAGAAAAAAAGCAACCAAGAAGATGCATGAAAATAAGTGAAAGAATTTCAGCATTATAGCCAACAGGGATCTTTAACCCTTGAAACCCTTATGAACAGTTGATATCTGTTCTAACTGGTTCTTATTCATCAGATTCTGAATTTAATTAAAAGAAGCTTTTTGCAGATATTTGTGTTGACTCTCGAGTGTATAAATCTCTTAGCTCAATGTCTCAATATTTGAGGAGTTGTTTGAGATCATGATCTCCAACTGTATGCAGTAGTTTGTAAACAGCAACATTGTGTTGATTATTTTGTCTAACACTGCATTTGTTTGTTTAAACTATTGCTTGTCTTTTTAGCCACTAGATTGTTCACTTAAAGAACTACATGTCTTAGCTAGGTATTCCTGATGAGTGGGAGGTTTGCTATTTAAACTCAATAATTTCCTTATACAACAACCAATGTGAATTCAAAGCATTTACAGCTGTGAATGTTCAGAACCATTGTGTGGTGGAGATATATCAAGTTTGGAGTCTCTATTTTTCATTTAATTCACCTTATCCCTACCACCCTAATACCAGCAGAGGACGTATAATGACAATGCCTACCTGTCAAACAAGGACTGTCAGGCCTCTCAACAGCTTATAGATTTCAGGCTCCACAGCACAAAAATCAGAGTTAACAGTGAAATAACACTGATGCTGCTCTTACTGAATTTTGCAAGTTCACAGGCACCCAGGAATCTTAGTCACAGCTTGTAGCAGCCCAGGCTCATAGTTGCAATGTAGAGCTAAACTGTTGTTCTTAATGTCTTGCCTGTACCATATAAATCCTAATCGTAAATCAAAATGTACATGTAATAGTCGTCAAAGATAAAGTAATTCCAGAAATATACATGTGGATTCAGCAAAGCAAGGTAAGGGCGAAGGTTAAAATACTTTTGGGAGAGGTGATGGGTACAATCTGATCTTGTAAAAAAGCACTGGGTGGTTAGATTAATCAATTCATGATTGGAACAGGATCAAAATTAAAATCAATCTCAAAAGAATTTCTTCCCTAGCTTTGAGGATGCAAGTCTTTGGAGAAACACTCATGATTTTTGATCATCTCAGATTATAAAGTTTAACTCCATTCAATTTACTTTTTTTTTCTTTGGTGACTACCTCAGGTGGCACTGTAGCATTATGGTTACTATTTCTACAGTATCTCACATGTCTTGGGTCCTGGGGCGTGTTCTGTGTGGAGTCTCTATGTTTATTCCTGTGTTCAGGAGGGATTTCTCTTTGTGCAGGGGTTTTCACACAAATTTCTGTCTTTAAATTGTGCCTGCGTGCTTGTGTTTTTCTCTGTGTACCTCGAGATGGACACATCTCAAATGTGGTCCCATCTAGTGCTCTGTGCCTCAAGGATACACTCCAGGTTTTCCAGCACTTACTGAATTAAGCAGATTTCAGATAATGGATTCCTAGCTCCATGTAATGCTAGTCATTGCCCAGATGCAGATTTCCAAAGCCTAGAAGAAACTGCTTAGATGGAGGTTATTTTCAAACACATTTTCGCACCTTTTGTTATTAATGACTTTGTTGACGGCCTCCAGCAGAACCTCAGTGGTGATCTGATTGATGCTGAGGACAACACCAACACCCCGTGCCTCCATGCGATGAGCATTATCGGACTGGTCCCCAAACAGAGGCAGCATCACCATGGGAACTCCATTGCAGATGCCTTCGTAGATTCCATGAGTCCCTCCATGGGTGATGAAGGCCCTGGCTTTAGGGTGTCCTGTCAAGGACAGGAAGAAAGGAAATCGTTTGGTAACTGGGGCACTATGTAAGAAATGCCTAAAGCATTAATTTATCAACAGTGTTGTTTTGCATATCATAGGATTGTAAGTAATTATAATAATAATTAATCAGTAATTTCCACTCTAAACATTTTAAAAATAACCCTTTCTATGTCTCAAACAATCAATAATGCCAAAAAACAGCAGGGGTACTTACTGTAATCGCTGATTTTGTCCAGATTGTTTCTGATTGCAAATATGGTGTGTTTAAAGAATAAAAATCAGGTTATATCAGAAAACAATCTGAATGTTTTGTGAATTACAGCAATTATGCTATTTCTGTCAAAAAGATGTATAGCATCATTGTTGTAATGCACAAACAATGGCATGCCTTTGTTTCTATCAAGGTAATTCTCCGGTTCTACTGATGAAACATTGTGAAATATTACAACATTTGTGATACAATGCATTTTTTTATTATACTGTAAGTAAAATACCATTGTAGGAAGGTACACCTGATGTGGGGCTTTGTTTCCCCTCTAGGGCTTTAAAGTCAAGTCTGGAGGGTTCTATATTCTATATATTGTTCCTTGTTCTATAGTTGTCAGCCTGTCTTGGCCAGTGGCTGGCTTCTACTGCATTATATTTCCGACTTATTTAATGGCTGTCGATGATGACTATGAAAGAAATTGAAAATCTAAATCTAAATCAAAATGCTGTGCATTTGTTTTTTTGGTGATCAGTCTCATGTTTTATTTTCAGTACCTTTTCAGCTTCTCTCCCTGTCTGTGTGTCTCACGTAGAGCAAGTTGGGGGTATGCATAAGACAAATTCCTAATACAAGAAATTTTATCTGGCCAATAAAGTGCTCTGATCTGATCTGATCTGATCTGATCTTACCAGCTTGTTGCTGTCACCTGTGTAACAAATGGAGTTGTTTAACAGAAGTTTGGAAGGGGGTCAAATTCTAACTTGCACTTTTATTGTGTATAAATACTCCCTGACTCCCAATGACTTCTGTACACATCCTATCTAGCTCCCCTCCCTCCACAGCAACTTCACCATAGCAGCTGCCTCCCTGGTTCATTCCCCATAAGTGAGGGGGTTGTGACAAATCTGCCTTATGGCCGCTGTTGTCATTTCCTCAGCTACACAAGCTAACTTCTATGTATTAAGTACTGTACCCTATTCCTTTAGATTCCACAGCCTGTTTAATTCAAATAGAATTTGAGCAAACTATTGAATATAGTGTGTAGCTGTGTAGAAAACACAAACAAACCCAATAGATCATTCTGTGGCAGCCATTTCATGATCTTGATATTATCCGGAAGGTTGTCTGGGATGGGTCCTGTGTACCTCCATAAAACCTGGAACGACAAGAAACCATACACATTTATAATGACTAATCCATGGTCATTCAACAAGAACGGCGAAGTGGCTTTATAATTAGCAATCTTATGACACTAGAGGCTATGAAATAAATTATTTTTTTGTCCACTATGATTTATGCACTACATTTCTGCCTTTATTTTTGTGTAACAAATTTTTTACCCATCACTTAATTCTTGAACTGTGTTGCAATGACTATTATAATAGATATACTATTTTAGTTTTTTAATGTTTAAAAACAAATCTTTTCCTGCTT